GCGTTGACTCGTGGTCAGAGCGCGGAGTTGGTTACCTGTTCATTTCTCCGCCCTTTAAATCGCTGCAGGATATTGCCATGTTGTTTCATTTGCTGGAAAACAATCATCCTAGTCATACCGTTAGGATCGAATTTGGCCACCATAGCTATATGTTCATATGCTAATCAGTGCTCGAAGTGCATAAATGCGTCACTGATATAATGATCAACTAAGACAGTACATTATTAATACCAGGATGTTGTTATTATTTCAACTTGATGCTGCTCACCATCCCCTTGTAAAAATGATGACACTGCTGAAATTGGCAATTTGTTGTTACCCGCTCAATTTTAATCTTGTTCAGTTTTTCTCATAGTTCAAAAAAGCGCTAGGCGTTAATTGTGCGTTAGATTAAGCGTAGTTATGCACAATGCGTTTTGCCAACGCCTAGAGCCTAGGCGCGCCTTTTTTAACTATGGTTTTTCCTTCTGTTTTAGATGCTTTGTGATTTCTCTTGTATTTATATGGACACGGAGGGTCTCATCTTAAATATTATGCTGTCTGTTTGTACGTCCTATGTGATTTCTCTTGTATATTTATGTACAAACATAGAGAATCACATCTTCAATACTCTTGCTATGTTGGTTTGTATAGTGTGCACTTTGACTTAATGTCGCCCTCCACAAGTAAGGGTTGATGTCTGTTTCTTCCACAACATATTGTTCATAACCACAAAATCATGACCGTTACAAAATACCACCAAATATTATCACATAACCTATCCATAGCTGTAATAATTGTTGGTAAAAAATATTATGAAGTTTGAATCTTGAAAAGCATGGCCGACTTATAGATTTAAACTGACATATCATTGCCCAACCTTTAAATCAGAGACTCAAGCAGTTCTTTGTTGTAGTATGGTTCTGCAGTTTTCCGACCAGTTGCAATGAGTGTACAATAAGTTTTCCTTTGTCCTTTTTAGGGGAGTCACTGACCTCAAAGATGTTCTCTGGAGCAGTTCATTGACATTCAAGCATGCGCTTTCGACTTCAGCTGCAAATGTTGATGGTACAACCTTAGCTTATATACTTATTCTTACACTTCCTGCTACATGCTTCAAGCGCTAATTACGTCAACATCTTTATCTGCAGAGAGTACATCTGCTAGAAAGTTTGCGAGCTACACTGTGTTCAAGGGAAAGGCTGCACTTTCCATAAGTCCTATTCTTCCTTTATTCACCAAACTCGAAGTATGTTTACTTTTATATCTTTGTGTTCTACTTCCAACCTTCTAGCACACAATGCCTTCCAATATATATAATTTCCTGTGTGTTGTCAGTCTGGAGGATCTCGAGTGAACAGAAATGGATCGGTAATGTTGACCTTCTTCCCGGCAGTTGGACAAAGGAAGTATGACTATACAAAGAAACAGGTAAAATGTTCTCTTGTGTATTTGGTATTTCCTACTGGTGTAAACTGGTCACAAGCAGGCCAGTTCCTAGTCTACCCCATTGTATCCATATTCTTGCCATGAACTGAAGGCCAAATCAATTCTGTGATTGATATTCATAGATTCCAAAGCATATGTTACCATTGCTTGTGCTGTTATTACTTTATGTTGGATATAAAAACTAAAATACTATTAAGTGTGCACTTTTTAGTAAGCCATAAAAATGTAAGCGAACTTGCAGGATGTTTGCTACAATTAATGAATGAAATTAATAGTTGCATTTGGCATGAATTAGCTATGTACATAACAATAGTCAAGAGGGAAGGAAGGTTCATCCTGCAGTTAGTTCAACCATTTGTAGTTTGTATGCTTTTTATTTTCTGTTGTTGTTCGTAGGCTCTTAGCTGGCAGCGAAGACCAAAATTACTATCTTGATTTTTCTCTTGCTTCTTTTGTTTTTAAGTTCCTCTTTGTAAATTTGTTTTTGTACGCACAAGGAATACAGTCTAAAACTTGATATTACATTGGGCTTTATGGATCTGGAACATTTCTTATACAGCTCTTTGCTCTGTCACCTACTGAAGTTGGAAGCTTGATAAGTCTTGGGCCTGCTGAATCTTGTGAATTTTTCCATGATCCTTCCATGAAATCAAGGTTTGGAATAGTATTGTGCAAAGAATAAAAAGTTACATACAGATACTTTGTGCTTTTAAATTTAGCTTTCTAACCACACCAACATTTCACCAGTCATGAAGGCCAAGTGAAAAAATCATTGTCGATCACTCCTCTTGGCAGTGACAATGGATACTTCGTTAACATAAGTAAGTGACTTCATTATGAACCGTATTGCCTTTCTAAGTTCTAATGTTCCTTGTTTTTGTTATTTTCAACAATTGATTCCTCCCTCCCCCAAAACGCACACATCATTTTTGGGATGTCCAATCTCTGTTTATTACATGGACCAAGCAAACAGTGGACTAAAACCGTTTTATTAACTGAACACAATGACATAATTATTCATGTCAAGCCCTTGGCATTTTCAGAGTAGCAAAGAAATTGTTCTCTTCATTATGCCAGTCTGTTTTATTTTCTGAAAAGATGTATCCAGTGTGCCTTAGATGACTTGAAAGGCCTTGTGCCTGCCTATGGCTAGTTGACATTTGTAGATGACACAATGCTCAAGCCATGCCACCAGTCTGCCATAGCCTAAATCAAGAATGCTCAACATAGCCTAGGAGTTAGTTGACTTCTGAATTATATTGGTGCACTGCCGATGTGCCCAAGTACGATCTCCTACATTAATTTGACTTCTGAGGGATTTTGAGCCTGTTCGGACTCCCTCCGGCTCGGCAACTCCGTTCTGGAGCTGAGCGGCATCCAGTTGTAATTTATGGAGCAGCTAAAACGATGCTCCGCCCACTCCGCTCTGTGGTAGAGGAGTGGAGGGTTGCCGAACACAGCCTTAATCTCTGAAATCTTGAAACATCTGCCTGACAAAAGGGAATGCTTCTGCTCTATAGTTATCATCCTATTCACCATATTTATTCCGCACACTGCACCAAACTATTATATTTTCTTTGTCCACTACTGTCTCTGTATGTTGTGTTATTCTGCTAGCTTCCTTTTGTTGTGCTGAATGATTTTGGCAAGAGATACATGACAATCTTCTTTTCAGCTGTTCTGAATAATGTGCAAAAGACCAACGAACGCCTTTCAGTCCCTGTAACAAAAGCTGAATTTGCAGTTATGCGCACGGCATTGAGTGTAAGTTTCCATGCTGCCATTCTCACCTATTGATGTAGTCTGAATAATTATCAGGTTATCCTGACTACTCTAAATCCTGCTGATGACTAAATCACCGACAGTTTCAGTTGAACTAACCGACATATTGGCAATGCATAACTTAAGATTTGCTGTCCTTGAACTTATATTGTAGCTCTATTTCACCACACGCATGAATTCATTCTCTTCCACAAAGTTACTTGGTCATTGGCCCTGGGTGCTCATATTTGCTTTTCTATTTAGGCGATTTTCAAGTATATCACTATACTAGTGATGACTCATGAGTCATAACAAGCAACTTGAGGCTGTTGACAACAATTTTTATTGTTGCTTCTCTACGATTACATTACATGTAAACTGTCATTTATGGTGTCTTTTGACTACTCAATATACGGATGTATTTGTGCAGTTTGCATTGCCGCACATCATGGGTTGGGACCAAGCGTTGTCAACTCACCCTCAAAGCACCTCGACCTCAGCTAGCAAGCCTAGGTTCGAGCGCCCAAACCCAGCTTCTGAGTGGGACAGGTGAAGCTTTCCTCCTCGCAGCAGATCGCCTGAGGGCTTTAAACACCACCGCAGGTCGCCAGTGAAATGTGTGGAGATGTGGGATGTCGAATTATGTTTCTTTTGTGATCAAACTAGGGAATTGTCTTTATCAGATTTTATGTTACCCCAGGAGATTGAAGTTAGAGAGCACCATGAAATTCAAGTGGCTTTTCAATCATGTGTCCCGCATGAAATTCAAATGTTGGGATGATGTAATCATTTGAACGTGTGACAAATCTGCCACAAACAGGGTACACTACAGCAAACATACCTCCCAACACGCATAAAAAGAAAATAAGATTGGGCAACTCAAGATTTATTTCACTTCAAAAAGAACTCCACTCGAACAACCAACAAGCAAGGTCCCACATATTCCTCTAACAAAACACTATACAAAGGGGCTATGGTGTGGTGCTGGGGGTAGTGTCTTCCAACGCATACTCTTCAAATATCTAGACTAGAGATGCTACAACAGTGATAAGACGATGTCGATCAGATTCACAAGAATTTATCTGACGTCTTGGGAGGACCAAGCAGACGCAAAGAACCACAAAGAACCAGGGCAGGCTACACAAAGAATTGGTTACAATCCAGCGGAGACCAACCCATGCAGTGTAATGATCCCAGACACGACGTTTTTGTCATCGACGACCGGCAGGAACTGCACAGGTGAAGGGGGTGACTCCATCTTCTCCATGGCTTCAACCGCCATTGCATCCGCGGTGATTGTCCTTGGGTTCCTGAAAGAGGTCAAGCAGGCCTGTTAGTGCAGGGGGCTCTAGATCGTACCAAGCATACCAAGAGAACACATGCAAAAGAACAGAAGAAAATTGGTCAGTTCTATAAGGCTGGTCTAGTGGGAGTAACATAGGTAGTAACATAGATGCCACATAAGCAAAAATGGTGATGTGGCAAGTAGTTAATGAGGAGAGAGGCAAATAGAGTAACATAATATGTTACCATCACATAGCGGTTTCCAATGCATAATGAGTCTATAAAGTAATAAATGAAGGCAACTATGTTACCACACCTATGACACTACCCACTATGAAGGTAGTAACATAGACTAGTAACATATGTATGTTACTAGTCTAAGTTACTCCCCACTATGACCAGCCTAACAAGATGATGCCACATTCTTCAAAGCTACTTCTAACTTATGCTGTTTGTACTCTGGATCTTGAGGGAAACTTAATCAAGTGACCAAAAAATACGCTAGAGAAACAAAGTGCATAGTACGAGGTCATTGGGATCTTGAATGTGGCTGGCCTGTAGCATGTTATTATGAATCACAAACCCCGGGGCATAATAACAGTTACCCTTAACAAGCAATGCACCAGGCATGCGCTCACTCACTAGCAGCTGGGCATATCACTATCTCCTGAGTGACAGCTCAAAACACCACACCAGGTGGTCACTACAGGCAACTGGCATGCTGTTGCCTCTCACGTCCACAGAATCAGCATTACCCTCATGGGAGCTGTGGTCCTTTACTGGGACAAGAGAAGAACAGTTCAAGGACTGACAACAATACTCTCTGTTACCAGATGTTGTTGCACCACAGGACAATAACGAGGAGTACATTATTGAGCTATCAAGATCCTATCTGGGGCATCAGATAACTTTATAACTGAGAAAATAAGGAATATTACTAGGTGGAAGACAACCATTGCAGGCAGAAGTTCACTTGTTCAACACCAAAGATTCAACTAGAATGACCAGTGAACAGAATAACTGAAATTAACTCTGATCAAAGGAAACTGGACTTATAACAGAACACTCGGTAGTCAGTTCTCATCATGAACTAACAGAATATTCAGACGAGTAATTAAGCATATATGGCAAGAAATGACACATTTATAGGTTTAGGGTACATGATAAAATTTACTCCCTCCGATACAAAACAAGTGTCACAGTTTTGAAATAAGGTTAGTTCAACCTTAGTTCAAAACTGCGACCCTTATTATGGATCGGAGGGTGTAGCATATACTCTCTCCGTCCCAAAATAAGTGTCTCAACTTTATTACAACTTTGAGTACAAAGTTGAGACACTTATTTTGGGACGGAGGGAGTATTTCCTTTGATTATAAAAAGAAACACTTGTGTTAAACAGCGAGGAAAGAAAGAAATTTCATGACCGGTTTTATTTTTAACACTTGTGCTTAACTTCGTCTTGTTTCAAAAGGCTCTTTATGCCAAAGAAGGATGATATCTTTGTTGAACGATACCAGCCATGGATGTTATTACCCAGTTTACCATTTTCCAGAGTATTATTCCAGATAGTTTTCCAAATCCTAGCTCTACTAGAAAAGATAAAGACATACATAAAGACTGAGCAGAGACAAACCTGTTGCACATCTCTCCAACTGTTAGACTGAAAATAGCTGGCCCACTGGCCTTGAGTGTACGCCGGAGGTCTCCGTCGGTGAAAGTTCCAATCAAATGATACCCATCATCAACCACAAGAAGACAGCCACAACCTTTACTAGTGAGCTCAGTAAGTTGATCCATTATCATATCTCCCTCCTTGCACAATGGAAGCTCGTTTTGTTTCTTCATGACATCCTTAACCTGCAGGGCAGTTTTGCAGGTTATAATTTTGACACACGATTACCTGAAGAACATTCCACATGCACAAGAAAAGAACCAATTGTTTCGATTGAAGGATAACATAACTTCTCATGGTTACAAGATGCAAGTATTTCACATTATATGACCATATTATTGTCTGTTCTCGTTTCTGGCCAAAGAAATACATATTTAGGTAAAAACTCAACATGGTGCTAATAGTTTTTCAAACTTTTTATGAATATATAGATCAGTTAGATGTGTCTTAATATCACGACATACAATCAATCAGAGAAAATGATGTAGGCTTGCTTTAAATTGTGTAACCGTACAGCTAAACAAGAAAGGCAAAAACATGCATCCATCTGTTTAGCATGATTCTATTGTTACGCAATATATGTGCCAAAGTATTTTTGTTATCTGATGAACACAAGGCAAAAGCGACCTATCAACAGCAGACCACATTGCTATAATTCCAATAGGTGTCATAAATAAAAGAGAAGGTGACAAGAAACAGCAAATAGAAACAAGATGTTGAATGGACAGTGACAGAATTGCGGAATCATAACGAGCATGTGCCGCATCATGTGTACAACATTTCAAGTTGGGAAAATGATGTAGGCTTGCTTTCACTTTTAACAATACTACTCCCTCCGTAAAGACATATAAGAGCATATAGATCACTAAAATAGTGATCTAAACACTCTTATATTTCGGGAGTACTAAACAGAACAAGTAAAAACACATTCATCTAAGCAAGATTCTGTGGCGAAGTATCTATGCTGTTGCATGAGCACAAGGCGAAAATGACTTATCAACAGCAGACCACATCGTTATAACTCCACGACGTCTCATGAAAGAGATAGTGACAACTATATCATCACAAATAGAAACAAAAAGTTGGTTGGATAGTGGCAAAATTGATAATCATGTCGTATCATGCGTACACCATTTCACCTGGGGAAATTATACAAAGAAGGCCACCGACACCAATGTATCAAGTACAATTTAGTAACTGTAAGATCTGATTTTAGATCCAATGTCCCATTGGGTGGCTGCACATGGAATTGCCAAAAACTGATAATAATGTTCATAATGCAGGATAGCTTGCTGATGAAGGAAGGTATACCTTGAAGATGAGGGTCTTGCCGATTTTCCCGGCGGGGTGGTTTGACGCGTACTGGTCCCTGGTGAGGCGGCGCGCCTCCATGATGGCGGCGACGACGGTGTCGCCGAAGACCATCTGTATGGTGGTGGAGGTGACGGGCGCGAGGCCGAAGGGGCAGACCTCCCCCTGCAGCGGGAGGTGCACGTTGAGGTCGCAAGCGGCGGCGAGCGGGCAGTCGGCGCCGGAGGCCGCGGAGGTGAGCGAGATGAGCTTGGCGCCCTTGGCGCGCGCGCAGGGCGCGAGCGCGAGCAGCTCGTCGGAGGCGCCGGACTTGGAGAGCAGCACGAGGACGTCCCCGGGGAAGACGGAGCCGATGTCGCCGTGGAGCGCGTCGACGGGGGACAGGAAGCCGGCGCGCGCGAAGCCGAGGGAGGCGAGCGTCTGCGCCAGCTTGCGGGCCACGATGCCGGACTTGCCGACGCCGGTGAAGAAGACGGCCCCGGGCGCGTCGAGCAGCGCCTGCGCGAACGCCGCCGCCTGCGGCATGTCGAGCCGGTGGAAGAAGTGGTCGAGGTGGCGGCGCTGCGCGTCGAAGAGCGTGGCCAGGTCCGACGCCGCCACCGTCGCCCGCGTCCCCTCCGTCGGAGGCGGCGCGCATTCCGGCGGGGAGAGCACCGGGAGCGAGCCCATGACGCCGCGCGCGGAGGGTGCTCGCGGAAATGCCGCGGCGGCGAGGGGGCAGGAGGAGGAGGATGGGCTCTCTCTGCGGTGAAACGGGCGCCGCGGGAGAAAGGGGGTGTGTGTTGTGTGTCGTTTGCGGCTTTGCGCGTCCCCGCGGCGATCTGGAGTTAATCGGGGGAAGTGCGTGACGAGCTGATTAATTAGGGGATTTTGACGCGGATAGATTTGTGGTGCGCTCTGGCGGTCTGCATGATTGCATCAGCGCTGCGTGTGGTACTATTGACTGATGCCGGTAGCATGGGACGGGGATGGTCGTGCGGTGATAGATCGATCGACACGTCGAGCAAATTGTGGGTTTAGAACAACTCCAACGGGGCGATCCATTTCGTCCGTCGGGTCGGCGCGGACACAAAAGACGGCCCAACATGTCGACCCAAACAGACGCGGGTTTGTTTTTCGTCCGCGGGCGGCCCATTCTCGGCCCATTTTTAAGCCGGATTTGCGTCGGCGCGGGCACGTGACGGATGCGCGCATGCCCCCTTCTCCTTCCCCGGGCCCGCTGGTCGATGGCACATTGGTCCCCCCCATCCAACAGCAACCCTCGCCCGTCTCCTTCGTCGCTGACGCTGCCGTCCATTTTTGCCGGCGACTCTGCCAGCTGTCGGCGCCTCCACATTCCCCAGCAACGCCGCCCACTCCCACGTCGCCCGCCACCGTCGTTTTGCCATCGGGGAGCCGACTGCTTCCCACCCCCGCGCCCCCACCACTCAGGCGTCCCTGACCAAGAAGCCGCCTCGCCGCCCCGGCCAGATCCTCATCGGCACGCTCGTCGGACGCTCGCAGGGCAGCTAGCTGGTCCGTGCGCGCCGCGACTCCCTTCGCCGGCCGTTTCCTTCGTCGACGCCCGCAAGCTATTCGATAGTTTGCCAAGGTACAAAATGGACTCCACCGACGAGTTCTTTTTTCACAATTTCCTTTGTGAATCCTACGATTCGTCGTCCGATGACGAGAAGGAGATATTGGCTGCCGTGTTGGTCCATCACCACCTCAACAGCGGTCGTTGTTCCGTGGCTCCATTCCGGGCCACCTTCCGGCGTAAAATCGCTATTGAGAGAGCGGACATTTCCTTGTTTGGAATGACTACTTTGATACAACAAACCCGTTGTTCAAACATCAAAAATTTCGCCGACGTTTCCGTATGAGTAAGCATCTTTTCAACTGTATTAGAGAGGGGGTGGTCGGCTATGATGACTATTTCGAGTACAAAGAGGATGTCGTTGACAAGATTGGTTTCTCCTCTTATCAGAAATGCACTGCCGCCAACCGTATTTCAGGGTGAGAATGTTGTGCTTGAGCATGGAGGAGCGGCAACATTTGAACAGTTCATCCAATTTCATCATGACATGCGTGATTGAGAAACTCACGTGCAACTGCAAAATGATTTGGTTGAGCATATGTGAGATAATGTTGGCAACCAATAGATGTATCTTCTTTTATTCGTTTGCAAAACTACATGAGAACTATGTGAGACATTTTTATTTTTATTCGGCTTGTAAAACTATGCTATTTTATTCGGTTCGAACTATGTTATTTGACTATATGTTTAAATGCAAATTCATCAATGCAAAACGGCCAGCCGGCCAAGCCGGCACATATGGGTCGACGCATTGGGCGCGCTGTCGACCTATATCTAAAAAAGGGCGGGCGCTGGGCGGGCGACCGACCCAAGTGGACAATGTTGGAAATATGCCCTAGAGGCAATAATAAAAGTATTATTATATTTCAATGTTCATGATAAATGTCTTTTATTCATGCTATAACTGTATTATCCGGAAATCGTAATACACGTGTGAATACTTATACCTCAATATGTCCCTAGTGAGCCTCTAGTTGACTAGCTCGTTGTGATCAACAGATAGTCATGATTTCCTGGCTATGGACATTGGATGTCGTTGATAACGGGATCACATCATTAGGAGAATGATGTGATGGACAAGACCCAATCCTAAGCATAGCATAAACGATCGTGTAGTTCGTTTTGCTAGAGCTTTGCCAATGTCAAGTATCTCTTCCTTCGACCATGAGATCGTGTAACTCCCGGATACCGTAAGAGTGCCTTGGGTGTATCAAACGTCACAACGTAACTGGGTGACTATAAAGGTGCATTACAGGTATCTCCGAAAGTATCTGTTGGGTTGACACGGATCGAGATTGGGATTTGTCACTCCGTATGACGGAGAGGTATCTCTGGGCCCACTCGGTAATGCATCATCATAGTGAGCTCAATGTGACCAAGGTGTTGGACACGGGATCATGCATTACGGTACGAGTAAAGTGACTTGCCGGTAACGAGACTGAACAAGGTATTGGGATACCGACGATCGAGTCTCGGGCAAGCAACGTACCGATTGACAAAGGGAATTGCATACAGGGTTTGATCGAATCCTCAACATCGTGGTTCATCCGATGACAACATCGAGGAGCATGTGGGAGCCATCATGGGTATCCAGATCCCGCTGTTGGTTATTGACCTGAGAGCGTCTCGGTCATGTCTGCATGTCTCCCGAACCCGTAGGGTCTACACACTTAAGGTTCGATGACGCTAGGGTTATTAGGAAGACTAGTATGTGACTACCGAATGTTGTTCGGAGTCCCGGATGAGATCCCGGACGTCACGAGGAGCTCCGGAAGGGTCCGGAGGTAAAGATTTATATATGGGAAGTTGTCAAACGGACACCGGGAAGTTTCGGGGTCATACCGGTATTGTACCGGGGCCACCAGAAAGGTTCCGGGGGTCCACCGGGAGGGGCCACCCCTCCCGGAAGTAAAGATTTATATATGGGAAGTTGTCAAACGGACACCGGGAAGTTTCGGGGTCATACCGGTATTGTACCGGGGCCACCAGAAAGGTTCCGGGGGTCCACCGGGAGGGGCCACCCCTCCCGGGGGGGCCACATAGGCTGCGTGGGGCAGGGAGCCAGCCCCTGGTGGGCTGGGCGCACCCCCTCCCTTGGGCCCTTGCGCCTAGGGTTGAGGGGGGGAACCCTAGAGGGGGCGCCCCCTTGGCTTGGGGGGCAAGCCACCCTCTCCCCCTCTCCCCTTGGCCGCTGCCCCCCCTAGATGGGTTCTAGAGGGGCCGGCCCCCTTCTCCCTTCCCCCTATAAATAGAGGGGTGAGGGGAGGGCAGCCGGACCACCCTCCAAGGCGCAGCCCTCCCCTCCCCAACACCTCTCCTCCTCCGTTGTGTGCTTGGCGAAGCCCTGTCGGAGTACTGCCTCTCCACCATCACCACGCCGTTGTGCTGCCGGTGGAGCTGTCTTCCTCAACCTCTCCTTCCCCCTTGCTGGATCAAGAAGGAGGAGACGTCTCCCGTCCCGTACGTGTGTTGAACGCGGAGGTGTTGTCCGTTCAGCACTTGGTCATCGGTGATTCGAATCACGTCGAGTACGACTCCATCATCACCTTGCAAGCTTCCGCACGCGATCTACAAGTGGTATGTAGATGCAAACTCACTCCCTCGACTCGTTGCTTAGATGAACTCATAGATGGATCTTGGTGAAACCGTACGAAAATTTTTAATTTTCTGCAACGTTCCCCAACAGTGGCATCATGAGCTAGGTCTATGCGTAGTTCTCTTTGCACGAGTAGAACACAATTTTGTTGTGGGCGTGGATTTTGTCATCTTACTTGCCTCTACTAGTCTTTTCTTGCTCAACGGTATTGTGGGATGAAGCGGCCCGGACCAACCTTACACGTACGCTTACGTGAGACCGGTTCCACCGACTGACATGCACTAGTTGCATAAGGTGGCTGGCGGGTGTCTGTCTCTCCCACTTTAGTTGGAGCGGATTCGATGAACAGGGCCCTTATGAAGGGTAAATAGAAGTTGACAAAATCACGTTGTGGTGATTCGTAGGTAAGAAAACGTTCTTGCTAGAACCCAATTGCAGCCACGTAAAAGATGCAACAACAATTAGAGGACGTCTAACTTGTTTTTGCAGCGATTGATCATGTGATGTGATATGGCCAGAAGTTGTGATGAATGATGAATTGTGATGTATGAGATCATGTTCTTTGTAATAGGATTCACGACTTGCATGTCGATGAGTATGACAACCGGCAGGAGCCATAGGAGTTGTCTTTATTTTTGTATGACCTGCGTGTCATTGAATAACGCCATGTAAACTACTTTACTTTGTTGCTAAACGTTAGTCATAGAAGTAGAAGTAGTCGTTGGCGTGACAACTTCATGAAGACACGATGATGGAGATCATGATGATGGAGATCATGGTGTCAAGCCGGTGACAAGATGATCATGGAGCCCCGAAGATGAAGATCAATGGAGCTATATGATATTGGCCATATCATGTCACAACTATATAATTGCATGTGATGTTTATTATGTTTATGCATCTTGTTTACTTAGGATGACGGTAGTAAATAAGATGATCCCTTACAAAAATTTCAAGAAGTGTTCTCCCCTAACTGTGCACCGTTGCTACAGTTCGTCGCTTCTAAGCACCACGTGATGATCGGGTGTGATGGATTCTTACGTTCACATACAACGGGTGTAAGACAGATTTACACAGCGAAAACACTTAGGGTTAACTTGACGAGCCTAGCATGTGCAGACATGGCCTCGGAACACGGAGACCGAAAGGTCGAACATGAGTCGTATGGAAGATACGATCAACATGAGAATGTTCACCGACGATGACTAGTCCGTCTCACGTGATGATCGGACACGGCCTAGTCAACTCGGATCGTGTAACACTTAGATGACTAGAGGGATGTCTAATCTAAGTGGGAGTTCATAATTTGATTAGAACTTTATTATCATGAACTTAGTCTAAAACCTTTGCAAATATGTCTTGTAGATCAATGGCCAACGCTAATGTCAACATGAACTTCAACGCGTTCCTAGAGAAAACCAAGCTGAAAGATGATGGCAGCAACTATACGGACTGGGTCCGGAACCTGAGGATCATCCTCATAGCTGTCAGGAAACA